TGTCTGCAAAGTGTCTGCGAGGTGTCTGCGGAGTGTCTGCAAAGTGTCTGCGAGGCGGACCTGGTAGTCCACCATCGAGGAGCCGTGGAAGACCGCCCGCTCCTGTCCGCACAGACGACGCGTGAGCAGGCGCACCGCACCGCGCACCTCCTGCCGCAGCCGCGAGGCCACGCCTCCATCGCGGACTGCTCGGCGGCGTCCTCGCGCCCCTCGTACTTCCGCTTCTCCTGCTTGAGCCGCGCGTCGATCGCCACCTCGAGGGGGCGGCGTGCGCGCGTCACGGGCGTGCGGCGGCGAGGGCCAGCCGACGTGCGGGTGGCTCGGGGTGCGGGTGGCTCGCCGCGGTGCCGTGTGGCGGAGGAGGCGGTGGGGGGGGGGGCGGGAGGCGGAGGGGGTCTCGGAGGTGTCGCCGCCACCTTTTGCTCGGCGGTCAGCTCCGGCGCCTCCGTCGGCACCGCCTGCACAGCAGCCGCGCGTCCGGTGGTTAGGGGCGGGCGGCGGCGGCGGGCGAGGGGCGGCGGCGCGCGGGCGAGGGGCGGGCGAGCGGCGGCGGGCGCGCCTGGTAGTTGTCGTCAAGTCTCAGCCGCTTGCGCTGGTCCTCGAGCTTGGACTCGAGCGGCTGTTTGAGCGAGTAGACGGACCCGCCGCGCGCCTCGGCCCACTTCTCCACGTCGCCCACCACGCCCGCCGCCGGCGCCTGCTGCGGGCCCGCGGCCGCGTCCTGGCCCGACGGCCCGAGGTGCGTCGACGGGTCGGCGGCGAAGCCGTAGGCGTTGAAGGTGTGGTACTGCTCGTCGAAGGCGAAGTCGGTGGCGGGTGTCATCTTGGCGACGTGCCCGACGAACCGGTGCTTCGACTTGATCCCAGCCGCCCGCTGCGCAGTCACGTCGAGCGACGGCCCCTGCTCGGGCGCCCACATCTCCTCGTACGTCGGGTTGGCCTTCATGATCTGCTGGCCGTGCTTCCGGTCCTCGGTGATGACGGGCGCGAGCGCGAGCGCATGCGACGCCGACGATCCGCCGTAGTCGCCCACCACCGCCGGCGTGGGGTTGACGACCAGCAACGTGCTCGCTGCCGCCGCGGCTGGCTCATCGTTGTCGTCGTCCTCCTCGTACGAGCTCGCGAGCAGGCCGAGGGCGCTGGTCGCCATCTCAGTGGCCGGAGGTGTGCCGCTGTCTCCCGATTCCGCCCGTCACGTGTGAGAGGGTAGCAGCGGCGCCGCTTGTGGCTTGTGACAGCAAAAAAACCATGCTGAGGCTCTCCCATCCCTCCCTTGGGTTGTCAGTTTTCTTTCTTTCTTTCTTAGCCGCGAGATGCAGGCGGCGGCGGCGTCGCAGGACGAGGCAGAGGAGAGCGACGCGACAGAGGAAGAAGCGACAAGGGAGAGAACGACGAGAGTGGGACGAGGACGACCGCGAGGTGGCATGAAGCTTGAAGGTTGCAGCGAGAATCGGCGAGAGACTGCGAAGGGAGATAGGAAGAGGCGGACGCCCAAGGGTGGGTGACGGCTAGCGCACCACACCCCTCTCCTTAAAATCCCTATGTGCTGGCGGCGTGCCGTCCTCCCCATCCCTCCCTTGGGTCTCTTTTATTTATTCCTTTTCAACCTTTGTGGTGGCGCGGCGTGTCGTCCTCCTATCCCTCCCACCCTGCTCCCCAATGCAGGGTTCCTTTCTTTTTTTTACCCAAGGCGTGACGCGTGGACCGCCCGGGCCCGGAGCAGCCTCGCTCCTGCGCGGCAGTCCGCCCTAGAGAGAGAGAGATTGTTTGTTGCCCTCTATGCGGGCTACGATCAAAATGGCGGCTCGATGCCGCGTGGACGCCGTCGTGGTCTCGTCACTCCTCACGCCGGCTTGGCCTTGGGCGCATCCTTGGAGACGCGATAGGCGCACACCTGGCCGAGCACGAGGGGCGGGTTGGCGGGCTGGCGGTGCTGCGATCGGTGCAGGTGATCTCAGGTGCGGCCGCTGGCGGTGTTTCGGCCAAGTTTCGGCACGGCGCACGCTAGGCTCTTGTGCGGTGGGGTGCACACCAAGATAGCGGCGCCCAGGTACCAGCCCCACCGCTGCAGCAAGCTCCGCTTGGGTTTGGACGCGTTGCCCGTTGCCGCCGCCCGCTCCGAGCGCTTCGCCGCCCAATGCACGAGCTTCGGGCGACCCTCAGCGTCGACCGTGGCGTGCGTCAGAACGAAGGCGTCATTTCCGACAACGGAGAACTGTATTGTGCCGCCCGACTTGCCCAGCCAGGTCGACTCGGACAGCCACGCCGCCCCGCCGTTCCGCTCCTCAAAGTCAAAGTCGAAGACTGGCTCTGTCTCGGCCGGGTCGGCGCCGCTCTTCCCCATGCGGAAGGAGCCTTGATGGCCGGCGCCGGCGTCAAAGTCGACGCGAACAACCATCTCGCGCAGCGTCGTCGACGGATCATCTCGGGAGGCCTCAGTGTACTTTCCGGCGAGGCCGCCACCGTCGGCCAGGTCGAGGCTGTACCGCGCGAGGAGCGGCACGCCGCCACGCGCGCCTTCGAGGTCCCAGTCGCCATGCATGAACTCGCGAAACGTCCACGCGGACGTGATGCTGGGCAGCGCGCATAGCAAAAGTGCCTCCATGACAATAGCTGTGCGTGGGGACAGTGCAGAAGAAGCTCGAAATAAAGGGCGTAGACACAGAGCTTACCTGGGAGCTTACTCGAACCCAGCAGGAGGACGAGGCGAGCTGGTCGACGCGGTCGTGGCTGTCGCTGCAGGCCCAGCGCATGTCAGTCGCGCTGCAGCTCGCGGCGGCGGATGAGATTGCGACCGAGCTCAGGCTCGCCGTGGCGTCGGAGGACCCCACCGTCGCCTAGACTCCCCTGCGTCACTACGTGCCTAACAGTCTTTCTAGCCTGGCGTTTGTGCCCCGTTTGTGCCGCGTCGCGGGGTAGGGGTCGTCTTTTGTCTTTTTTGGCTCGAACCCAGGGGGCGCCGTCGTACAACTGTGATGCTCGCTCGCTACCTGGCGCTGCGCCAAGACCTCGACCGCCACCACACGCGTCGGCGCGGTGGCGCGTCTGCCGCCGCCGCCGACGTAGACCGCAGCGGTGGCGGCAGCGGCGGCGGCGACAGCACGGTGTGTGCCTCCCGTGACTGTAAGGCGAGCGCACCAGCTCCCGGCACGGCACCGCCGCCGCCACCGGCCGCCAACGCCAAGGCTGCGCGCCAGCTGAACCGCCTGCTGAGCCAGCTCGCCAAGCGGAAGCAGCTGAGCACCTGCCGCTCCACATTCGCCGCGGGTGCCGCCGCCGGCACGGTGGACGCGTGGTCGCACGCGATCCTGATCAACGCGTACGCAAACTGCGGCGACGGTGCGAGCGCGCTCAAGGCGCTGGGCGAGATGCGAGCGTGCGGCCACCGCCCGTGCGTCTTTTCGTACACGGCTGCGCTCAAGGCGCCGTGCGGCGAGGGAAACCTCGAGGCGGCGAGTGCGTTGCTCGGCGAGATGGAGGCCGACTTTGCGGCCGCCGCGGCGGAGGAGGACCCGGCTGGCGCGGGTCGGACGGACGGCGGCGCGGTGGGCCGCGCG